TAAAACGTATACACAACAGATATTCAGTAAATGCCCGCTATAGGCTTTTTTAGCCGTTCCGTCCAATTCTCTCGTGTTCTCACAAATTATGCTGTTATATTCCGGAGTGAGACGAGTGAAAACTTTAAAAGTTCAACACTGTCCGATGTTTTATGCAACTCGTTAAATAAACAAGACACGGATTTTCTGACTCCTGTTATCTGGTACACATTTTACTCAGAATCATTAAAAGTATATCAATAAGTGAATGCGATATTGCGTGTAGATATTTGTGCACAAAGGCTTTTAGTGTTGAGTGTGATTTATCCTTCGGTTAGCAAACAACCGCGACATATAATGCATGATTTCTGTGCTGAAAACTTCATCAACCACATTACATCTCAAGAAGATGATGTGAATCCTGTATTATAAGTCATATGTGCTGAAGCTAAACTCGTTGGAACTTGTACATAACGTTGGAACCATCAGCAAATAAGTAGAGCATACTATGTTTGGTAACAAAACATAGGGCGTTAACATAAAACATGAAGAGTAATGGACCGGGGACAAGCTATTTTACAACAATATCGGCGTTTGGACGCAGAGAACGATGTTTGCATTAGGCATATATTTGTGTACCACCGAACACGTTTGATGATAACCAGATAAGTAATGGTTCATGGACTGCAAATAAAAGTATCATTTTCAGTATCCATTTACAAAGTACCAGATCAAATGTCTATTAAATGTCCAAGAAAAGAAATAAAACTGTATATTCTGAGCCAAATGAGATGGATACGTAGTTTCAGTATTGCAACTGACAGGTTCTACACGATCGTTTGTATAGATGACAAAGTTCTGACCAAACTATTAGGATCAGTGACTTGATGAAATACATAAAACCTTACAAAATTTTTAGACTCAGCTGGCGATTACTGGAAGGTGATTGGGTCGCTATGTAACTATCGGTTTGTGGTTTTAATGATTTTGAAAAATTGCTAGTTTATCGTTATGTCGCTTTGTACCAGGCTTCACTCTTGATTGTCTTACGCAGTATCTGTCTCAATATTGGCAACTGAGATCGTGGAATACACCAGACGCACCTTGCTTTCTCAGTTTCTCTCTTCAAATGCAGAGCTTACTTCAAATAGCTTAATAATCATTTTCTAGAAATTGAGGAACTGCTGCATATCAACGCAACGGCTTTTCTTTTTAATCACTTACTTTCTAACTCATGTCATATTCACCAAAATTATTATTAAGTGAAAAGCTTAGGTACACCCTGTTGCTGCATTTGCAAGTACAAAGTCAACCTAGCGGTTATTTTGTCTTTACGACAAAAGATTAGTGGCAGTTATTGAGCTAAATCACATTTACACTGGCCAACCGGTTGTTTTAAATAACTGGTGTTATTGAACAACCTCAGATGTTCACGGATGTCGTGTAACCTTTTTGATGTGTTCCATTGGAGAATATTCAAACTGGTGACAGTTTGTTGACGACTAGAATACTATGGCTCTGGAAAACCCACCGCGAGAACTTGCTAGATGGAAACTATGAGAAAAAGCAGCGGGGTTTAATAATGTTGTGCTGTTTTATCATTCAAAATCAACCGGTGCTATTCACTTGATTCACTCTTGTTTGGACTCATCAGTCAGTGAGTAAAACGTAAATACGCAAATGCTATATTAGGCTCATTACTTAAAGAATAATGCTTTGAAACAGCGGAAACTTTTAATGTAAAGAATCCCTTTCATGTGTACACAAAATAATACCTTACTGATGGTTATTCAAGCCACAGTCATATTTAAGCAAACTAACCTTTTACGGCAACTTATGGCTGTGCACCCTGATGGGATGTCAGTGTTATCAGCTAACAATCAAAGACAAAGGTAAGTAGTAATTTGGCGTCCATTTTTTGGTTAGCTACTTCTCAACCATGTCACTTGTCCCATAATATATGCTGTTCAATCAACCTTCACAGATGCCCATCGATTCTAAGTAAGTACATACAAGGGTGACAAACAAGTGGTCAAGATTAGTGTAGAAGGTCAGATGCATGAACTTGCTTAGAGGCGCTAGTGAGCCTCTGGTCTTCCAGGAAGCCCAGAAATTGATAAAACTGGGTAACTGATCAATTACTTTACTTACGCGGTCGTTACAAAATTTACAACATTACTGCTGGAAGGCAGGTATTTTTGGTATACTAAGTTTGTCGGCTTGATAGTTTCAACAAAAACACAGAGAACTCAGACCATTTCCGCTGGAAATACTCCTTATTGATGTACTTTCGCATGATTCGCAGACTGTCGAACAATACTTTAAAGCAATAGCAAACTACGTTGGTATAAATCTCCGGAATTGGTCGGTCGGCGTCTTACTAACCAGAACAATGGTGTAATACGGGTAAAATAACGAAAAATCATAAAAATTCCCGTACGATAGGACGAATGAGCACCACTAATTAATAAAATGTAAGCAGTGAAAAATGTGAATGTGATTTGATAGATTCCCTATATTATTCACACAGAAGCATGGATAAAAGAACGGACATCCATTGTGAGGCCTAATGCTAGTTTTACAATTTTCGTCATATTATATCGTTTCTCAATCTACCTAAGCTACATCTCACAACGGACACGACAAACTCAAGGTGCTTCTAAAAACAGGTGTTATAGAGGTAGAGCAGCATAATTTAGTAAGAAGGTCTTCCATGGCTGGCGAATACGAAGAGAGTAAAAGTTTTGTCGACATTCTAGTCGACTGTATGGCGTGGCCAACTTGAGCTGATTTGCGACTTTAAGTAGGTGTGGTCAGACATAGTCGGAGCTTTCACATTCTGGTAGGACTTTATCAGGTCGCCACGTATTCGAGGATAACGACATTCATAGAGGCCTCGGCATAAGTTAATTTGGAAGGTGGAACCACACTCTGATGTTTTTGGTGGCTCTTTGCTGTAGAGTCTTGAGAGCCACGGGCCCTCGCTTTTGCAGGGTCGCCAGACCTGGACTGCATATTCCTCATGATGCTGCACGGATGTGTTATGTACTCGCTGACGGACAGGTAGCTCAAACAGCCGAATGCCTACAGCAGCATATCGAGATTTCGGTTCCCTTTATTAGACGGTCTCTCAGATTGTTCTGAGCAGCAGAAAGCAATCTGGATTATTTCCCATGTTCACGCTCTCGAGTGAATGCTTGTGGGACAAAACTCCAACCTGCTATTAACCATTCACTTGATGACGAATGTGGACGACCTTACACTTAGAGGAATTCATTCATAACAGAATCAGGAATTCCGACGCAATCAGGCGCGCTTGCTCGTTATAAAAACGAAAGAGGGGCACGGTCCCAGTACTGGTTCTTGTGCAAATCCACCTTCGATATGAAGCGGATCGAACAGTGCACGTCTAGCTCCAGCCTGAATTTGCCAATCCTGCAGAAAATTAATGACCCACCCAATGAACTAATCTCTACCTCCGTAACTTTCCAGCCTGTGCATCCGAATCCGGCCTTTTAGTCAATCAAAGGCTTTGGAAAAGTTGAGATAAATGACATCCGTCCCTCTCTCCTTCCGGCCGCTTCCGTCAAACTACTATCTGCAAGCATTTGGTTGGTTGTGCATAAACGGTACTGGCGAAAACCTTGCAGTTCACGTGCTAATATGTTTTATCGGTCTAAATGTTAGACCAAGAACTCAGCCATGATTAACTACATCACTTTTGAGACCATAGCCAGCTAGAGTGCATAGCTACCAGGTAGTGACGTCGAAGTATTTGTATACAATTTACCTGGTAGATGACTGCCTTATTTAAACCTGACTATGGCAGGCAAATTGCCTGATGCTGGCATACATTTGAGGATATACTCAAAACTACCTAAACGATAAGATACATGGAAATATAAGTATATAGACAGCTTACGCGTATAAAGCTTACTGCACTGTGTCAGCTACTAGATCCTGTTACTTCCGTTATCATACATTTACTGCAGCACGCTTAATTTCTCCGGTTGCAAGTAACCTTGTGCAAGTTGCAGGTGGAAAACTAATTTATGATTCCTTGATGAATAAGATTTAAATTAAGCTATTTTCGTACTTATTAATCGCATGTTTAGAGCAGTATAGCGATTGACGTAGGAGATGAGCATCTACAAATGGAGTAAATATTTATTGAAAAAACCTGTTTCGGATGAAACGTGGACGAGACCATCATGAGCACACCCGAAAGTTACCCAATAAAAACATTCTAATAAAAATCGATAACGGAATGTTAATCGGAATTTTCTTAATTAGTTTCTGTTACTACAAATTAGTAGCAAAGCTGCCTTTCTTTGTCGATTGGGCATGAAACCTTTGTAGTCAAAATGTCTGCAGGTTTCAACTAACTCATAGCAGAGCACTTTAGTCGCATGTTAGCCTTTCACCAAAAAGTCGTTCTTACTATATCTACTGAGGATTTATCAGTTTTCCCTAAATAGTCTCAACAGTTTTTGCTTAGACAATTGACTAGGTCCTTGATGTTCTCCGTCGATCTTTTGCGACTGGATTAGAGATACTTGGTGCACTAAAACAGGTTGTCAGAAAGTGTTCGTGACTCGAGAAATCTTTGTCCGGATTGATAACCTGATTTTTAGCATTGTTCCGTCAACCGGATGCATGCTGAAGACCGTTTATTTTGTGTCAGCTGTGCTGCCAATACTATGTTTCCACTCACACAATTTTGCAATTTTTATGGTATTTCTTAGAACATCCGCAACGGCTATCCTAAAATGCTGAAAATGCACTCACTTGAGTACATAGTGCGTACATTGAATAGACTAGAACTGCGTCATTGGAGGTGCGGTCTTTGTTTAACTTTTGATCACTATACATAAGAACACCAGGAAAAGTTTAATTCAGGTAAGCGCAAAAATCGGTAACCCCTTATTGACTATTATTACTGCTTATGAACATAGTAAAACACTGAAGTGGATCAAGCAAATTTACTGCCACTTATCATTTTACGTTGCTGCAACCGATAGCATGAAAGCTCAAATGTCAGGTGTCAAAGTGAAATGCCAACAAATGGATCTAATGAATTCCCCGGTATTCCGCCTCCTTCAAATGGTCGACTAAATGTTTCGCCGAGCCCTCGCACATTTAGTAAGGACGGTAGGATCAGCGAGATCAAGAATGATGCATATCTGTACACAAAATGGGAGCAAACGTCGTCACGAACACGGACACAATCCCGCACTTCCACTCATCGTTACAAAGAACGTTCCATGGATCCATTGGACTCCCCTGGTCAAAAAAACAAAGAATCAAAATCTATGTGGTTTGCACGCGCTCTCAGTCAAATTTCGCTAGCCGAGCCCATACTGAGGTTCAAAAAAGAAAAGTCTTCTACGCAAGCTAGCTATAACGATTTACCCATCGGGAGCCAGACTACACTCAATTCCCAAGCACAAAGTCCCAAAGGATTTGCATCTGCGGTTTTTAGAACCTTTCGTCGAAAAGCCAGCTCACCAGCTCCTAACCCTATGCTAATCAGCTCACCCATCTCAATCCACCGTATATCGGAACCACGATGCATGAGCTTGGGGCATCTGAGAGGGAAAAGTAATCTACAAGCGATCAAGCGGGATGCCCCAAGTGAAGACCCGTTCCGAATTTTTGGGGACAGCCCCATAGAGATTTCACATGAAAACAACTCGCCGAATGCAGCTTTTGAGTTTGCAAGAGAAGAACGTTCGTTGCCACATCCGGTAAGCCCTCTGCCAACAAAACAGGTAAATGTGATTTGCTAACCTATTTGCTTAAGTAAAATCAAGCAAAAGAATACTTGAACATTTGATGAGTATTTCGTACTTCCTAGGTTATTTAAATGTATTAATACAATTAGTGCCACTGTAGGAAAACGGTAATAAGTACAAAAGCACCAAAATAAATCAGTAGCCTTTAGAACGCATATTTCAATCGGTATTTTGTATTGTATTCTCTCTCCTTTGTTGCTAATCGCTTACATTGTAATCAATTAGAATGGTATACATGTGTCTCTGTTTCGTGAAGCAATAAATCTCATTTGCCGTACAGACTTTTATCTGGTTAACCACTTTATTTAGCTAACCTAGAGATTCATGAGTTAACGTTACGAAGTGGAAGGTTATAGGATTCATTAGTAAAACGTACCTTTCGGTTATGACGTTAGTCCTTTTAACCTTAGGAGAAAAAGAATATCGTGATAAATGAATGTATTTTATTCCATGTTCCTTCCCTAATACCTTTCCAAGGATCAGCATCTGTTGTTCTCACTTGACTTCTTCTGCTGTACTATGGCAAATAGTAAGAATGCAGTAGAACTCACTTGCCTTTAAATGTTTACTGGAAGGGATGCATCCGTTTTCGGATACGCCTGCCTCTCTAGCCCCTCTAGGGACAGCTACTGGAGTCTTGCGCCTTCTTAACGACCATTATGGTTTTGCTGCAACACGCACAGTTCCACCCACACCACACATTCAGTGCAAGCCCGAAGGGACAAGATCGGGAAGCATGTGGATGGGAGCCACGCATTCATCATGCACAGTAGCAGCATACTCGTCTATCCCATTTGGGAATCATGCGCACCAGACGTACATAAGGTAGTGTCTGGACCTTAGACCGTTCCGTACTGGACACCTGAATCGCTTTTTGAGCCTGGCACAGTTACGTGGACTGTGCACCCGGTCCCTCAGCAAATATTCAGTCTCCTGGAAACAGCAATTCAGGTGGTGTAATTCGACAGGTAGGCACCTTGTGAAGCTTCACAGCAAGCACAGCCGGTATTGCGCATCTCAGCGGAGGGTTGGTGCGTGTTGCACATCCGACAGACAATCAGTTGAGTTTAGCCTAACGAAGACAACATAGTATGTATTATTCCACATCAAATTCAGGCTTGGCTATTGTGCATAAATTCATTGATACATCCATGTCACTGTACTATGTTAATGCTATCCTCAAACTTTGCAAGGTGTTACATCCATATTGAATGGGAAGATGTTCCTGACTTCAACCCGGGTTACCATTACTGGGTTTTCTAGTCTCACAGGACACAATGTGAGCAAGCCATGTTCTAGATTATGAAAATTGTCAAGGCAAGTTAGAACTAGTTGCTTCGTTGTCTCGATATGTGTCATGTTGCATGTTCACAAAGGCCATTCTGTCAGCAGAACAAAGTCACCCATACCCCCAAACTAACTGTTGTTTGCTGATCACCGGAATTACTGTATAACGCTTTAATAATCCAACTGCTGCTGATATGTGAAATAAATGCATAAACGTGGTGCAAATTACAACAGTGACATAAATGTCTACTCTCCAGGAAACGTTTCCCTATTTTCTGTTGTCAGCAAGAAAAGCTACCAATTCACCGAAGATCCCCAATCCGCAAAGAAATACCTCCCAATTCCCCACTGTACTTTAATGGCTATACTTTGACAAAACCACCCCTCAAGCAATACTAATAGTGTTCTTCGTGCCGACATTTTTTGTGCTCTTGTCTTTAAACAGTATATTGCATTTGCTAAAGTGTAAAGTTTCGGCTCAAAGTAGAAAAATATATTTTGTACATATGAACAGCATCTTCATTACAATATATAAGTGCCTCCCTAGCAAATGCCCAATGTAGAAAATGCGCCTTATTTTTTCAGCAAAACGCAGTGTTAGACGCAAATTACTTATTAAATCGTGGGACACTGAAATATGACAAACCGTACATCTTTTGGTTCGTGTAGTAGGCTACACTACTTGCTGACGTAATAGTGTGAGTCGGCTCACCCTGCGCTAAAGGTAAGGAAAGTTGATCATTCCCATATTCTCTGATGCGTAGATGATTATAGAGCGAACCTCATTTCTTGCAGGAGCTGAGCATGAGGTTAAGCATTATGGGCTTAACCTAGTTAGAAACGGAACCAGATAGGATCAGAAATGATTGAGATAGCAGCATTTGCAATTGAAGTAAATAAATAAATAAATGGTTATATTTTTGACGATGTGAGACAAACCTATATTCGCACGATAGGATATGAGCATACTTTATGAAATGTTGGTCACAGATGGATCAGGAAAATCGCATAACAAAAAAACATAAGGACGATTGGAATGACAAGGAATATATAGCGCATAGCATGCTGAGTTGAAATTATAGCTATTACCTATTCTCTCACCTACAAAGCAGGGGAGATGGCACGATGGTGAAACGTGCAAGAAATCATATGAAACCTAGACCTTCCTCTTAGGCGCAGCATGTAGATATGAGACAATCAAAGAGCGTGATCAGGTTCTATAACGACAAAAACTTGTTGACGCTTCTTTGAAATTCTTTTTCTAGAGTGTAGACACGTATTCCTGTTGGCACCTTGTTCCAGACTCAGGTACACCCATCGAGGAAAACATTTGCAGACCTACTGGTCCTGGACTTCCGTTCCGCCACTACGTTATGTTTGTTTCGTGTGTTATAGACTGCAGATTGCATTGATGTCATGCTGTTGGCAAATAAATTGTTATGAAATAAAACGGGATACTCGGTACTGCTAATGCGCACATTTTCACTAGTTTAATTATTGCCATGTCTGCAGCAAAACATGACATAAATTGTATTCCAAAATAAAATGAAGCCTTTTATGTACTAAATATTTACAAATTCAATTCGTTTTGCTGCACATTGATCGCTATTTCTGGTTTTCAGCTAGGACTAATAGATGGACTCATGAGTAGGGTGAAATTCGACGTTATTGCTTTGGGATTTCTTTGGTGTGGCCACCAAAGTATTAAGTTGGAAATGAAGTTATTGCGCTTTTTAATCTTAAACTTAATATGCACATATCCTAGCTCAGAATCAACATTTGACACACTTCTACCAACAGGATACAAGTTTATTTATTCTGCATAAATAAAATTCTGGTTTTGATTGCCATGAAATCTGGAACCCGGTTTCAGCATCACCTTGTATCTGCAAACTTTTCTGTCATAGGAAGTTATTCAGGTGCTTGAAAAAGTGTCAATCGGTAAATTAGAAGTCAGCGGAGCACGGTGGGTGAAGCAAAGTCTCTTAGCTCAGCTCCCGCGGATTCCGCGGGACGTACGACATGCGGCCGAGTGGTATCATGGCGAAGAATTGATCCTTATTTGTTGTCAGTGCCGGCCATCTGTGTTGGAGTTTTCAGTTCATTTCGACAATTTGTCAAAAAGATTTTGCCGATGTAAGAGCTTCGTTTGGATTCAGAAAGCTGTGATGTATCAAACCATCTGCTGACGATTAAGCCATCAGCATAAACATTTTGCTTGCAATTACTGCCTTGTGAAATGTTGTGGAACTTGGCTGCGGTCCAACTATTGAGAGGTTTGCCATCGATTGTCAGGACGACTCACTTTTCATAGCAAGCCACAATCCTGTCCAGAAACCAATCCTATTCATTTCGCAGAAGAAGTGCGGACGACACCACAAATTGACGATTTCGTCCATTTCACTGCACTTGTGCGACACCAAACAACCAAGCATTTTGACATTTCAATCGCCCGTCAATGTTTTAGCCATGTCCCACGCGATACTGCTAATCCACCAGCATGATTCTGAATAGTTTTAGTTGCATCTGCTTTAACTCAGCCCATTAATTTACGGTTGTTCACTTCTAATGGCTATCCAAAACGATCTTCATCTTCAAGCGTCTCATGACATTCTAAAATCGCCATCGCGCAGTACGGTTATTAGTGGTTCCAGCACCAAGTGCACTGTTGATGTAATAGGCTGTTTCAGCAGCATTTCGAGAAAGGATAAATTGGTACAAGCAAACTTTGCAACTTGGTCGTCTGTCCATGTTGCATTAAATATGCTGTGATGTAAAGCTATTTTTCTGACGTAAACTGTCACCATAGTTAGCTAGAGCATAAAACAGGCTTATAGTGCTATACAAGTTCAAAACAAGTTAAAAATTATCTAAAAACACAGTTGTTAAAATAAAAATAGCAAAAAACACACAATATCTTTGGTACCAACGTAATAAATAGCTATCTACATGCACGTGAAAGCAGTGTACGATGGTTTTCCGCTGTTGCTTCTTGTCAGTTGTTCTCATTCATCACATTTATCCGAATCCGAACCAATGACCCCTACAGGCTTGAACCTGCAGCCAACAGCTTCTGCCATTGAGCCATGATGAATGGCAGCTGGCTGCTATGAAGTACAAGCTAACTAATTTATAGCTCGACATCAAAAACTTTCACGTAAACAGGGAAGGTTACAGAGGAAAGTGTTAGTCACAAAAGACACGCTTGTTACTAACAGTGGCAAGGTCGGACGGCATGTGAAAATGTTTAGGTCAGATAATTTGATAGAAAGATGTATAGTAGTAGATGCGCTGAAGCGGAATTACAGCGCCACGATGTAGGAAAATAGCTAACACAACATACATAAAAATCAGGGTTTAGCTGACTAAGTGGAATAATAAAGATTTTCACTTCTAACTGTTAACGTCTCAGTGAAACTAGATGTATTTTTATTGTAAAAGTGCCGAAGACTCAATGCTTTGGTTAGGGCGGAAAACACTTGGCGATATGATTAAATACCAACCACTCGTACTGTCGCGGTTGGGGGTTCATTTACTCATTTGCTTATCCAAATCTGCAGCAACAGTGAGAGGTCTCAGCCTGCAAGCTTATCAAGGTTTTTATGTAACCGACACAGCATTACAAATGGCCGTATTTTTATTGGAAATTCTGGCAGGTAATAGTTAACTCACACGCTTGGGACTTCATCGTCAACCCGTAGGGCACAGCAAGTGCTATTCTTGGTTGAGTGATTTCGTGTAGTGTTACGAATGTGCCATGGAGACTGCGGAAAATTGCAGCTGAATCGCGCAACGCTTGCTCCCTTAGCTGGGGTTGGATCATGCCTGAAATCTGGTTATGGAGTTATCGCTTGTGCCGGGGAAATGAACAACTGTGTAGTCATCTGGTATGCTCACAGAATCAGTAGCTGGATATTTTCACCTACTGCGTGTAAACAACAAGTTGGTAAGGTGCAGGTTAAGTGGGATCGTTGCAATCCGGCTATGTAAATTGGATAAGGAATAATAAAAATAACATTTCGGGCTACATTCCGAGGCTTCATTCAACAGCTAAAGGTTGAAGCCAAGATTTTCCAGGTTTCCGTACTAAGTCGTCGCACTGATGGAAAGCGGTTTTAAAGTATATATATATAGTGGGTTAGGATAGCCAAAACGTAAAAAGGCTATCGCACTGAGGTTAACTATTAACACCGTGTAATGATTTATGTGTCCAACGGTTCAGTAATCAGTTTTTGTTTGTGCTTCTTTCATCTGAAATGTCACTTATAAAGGTTGGTCGATGATCATAGACCGGAAATATTCAACGTTCGAACCCTTTAGACTGGGAGTAAGAATGAGGGGGGCTCATTCCTTTGAATTGGATCTCTGAACCCCTACGCCTATCATGCACTACCTTGTGCCCGAGCTTTAAGCAGAGGCCTAGATTAAAGTTCCTGATCATTCTCCTACATATAACAAAACAAAATGTGAACGTCTTTCTCAATGAGTACAATGAATAAGCTAAATATCTTATTTGTGCAGAAGTTATATTAGTAGTACACATAAAGCCGTTACTGAACGAAAACCGGGAGATGTTAACACTTCCTTTTTCTCTTAAGTGAAAGTATCATAACATGGAAATATATGAAACCCCATGTAGGTGGGGATAGGCGTGACACCGATACGCCTATGGCACCTGTAAGTTTATGATCGGCTGTTTTTGCGCTCAGATTGCGGATTTATTGTAACTGATCGCGACTGTCTCGGCAAAGTTACAAGCGGGTGTTAGCATGTCACGACACGACTATAAACACTGTTACCGGAGCAAAGGGATGAAAAGTGACCAGTAAATGCCTATCTACCTCGGAAACAGATGGACCACGTGAACCGGTGGTACAAAAACGACGACTGGATGCACTTCAACCATTTGAGTACATATTCCCATATTCCGGATTTATACGTCCCCTCGGTTGAGCCGATGTGGCATGTACAAAAAGCAAGAGATAAATTGGTAAATACAATGTGATTTCGTACCGACGGATTGCTTTTATGTCGTTGGGTAACAGCTATTAGATTAATCTGGTTGATAAGAATAATTTCAGCGGCACGATATATCCTATGGACCACTTAAATTACGTGTTTCGTTTGCTGAATGTTGGCCAAAATGACCCTTAATTATGAGCTACATATAAATCTCCTTTTTAGCAACTCTATCATTCTATCGCAGTGCATTCGCCAGGCTATATTTTTCTACAAATTTTCTTGTTTAATCACTTTTCCAAAGGTGTACACTTGAGAAATTAAATTATTCATCAGAATTCTCGGTGGTGCACGTATTCCTTGCACGGTTCAGTAGCGATTGAAAGAAGTCTACTTGAACCGTATTTCAGAAAACTGATACTGCCCGGACCAAGTCGGTT